TGCAAAAATGAAAATTTATTTTGCAAAAAAACTAAATCAGCTCCAAAACAAATATTGCGTGCTTTCTAGCGCAAGAACAATTTAAAAAAAAAAACAACAAAATAATTATTAAAACGTGAATTTAACAAATTCCCGAAAAGAGCACAGATAAAAAAAGCGAATACGGCCGATAAATTTTTTTTTGCATTTGAAAATGACCTGAAACACTTATCTTCAAAACCGGAAATTTGAAAAGCAAAAAAACGCGCCTTCAGTCAAATTTTTCAAAACACTAAATCCAAATAAAAACGGCAAAAAAGGCCGAACAAAAAAATAAAAAAAATTACAATGAATCTTCGAAATAACTTGAAACATGAATTTTCCAGATACATTCTAAAGGCTTTAAAAATTTCAAAAAATTGATGAATTAGAAATTAAGGTAACTCGAAGACTAAGAAGATCTATTACCACCAATAAATTTCTCTGGATATTTAAAATTTTCTGAAACATTTATCTTCAAACCTGGAAATTGGAAATTACACAATTATCGTCTCTTTCAACCTGATTTTATACATACCAAATCCGACTAAAAACGCCCAAAAACCCGATTTTTGAAGGAGCGACAAAAGTGATAATAAATCCCAGAAATAAATTTTGGCCTTAAGGGTTGATGAAACATGCATTTTCCTGGGTCTTAGAAGGGTTCATTCTCTTTTAAAAAAAAAAACAAAAATAAAACAATGAAAGCCAAATTTTAATTAGAAACGCCTAAAAAATTCGATCACTCGTGTTTTTATTCCTTCAATGTGGTTTAATAAGTTTTCACCAATTTCCGTGTTTTTAAGATTTTTTGAAACATCTTTTTTCAAAAACCCAAACCACATTTTTTTCAGACGATCGTCGCCCTGGTCTACAACGTGCTGAAGACGTTCATGGAGATGAATGGCAAGCTGTTCGACGAGTTGACGAGCACGTATAAGATGGAACGCCAGAAGTCAGACTTATGGATTATTGGCTTACCAATCCCTTTAAAATCTATTTGCCGATTCGGCAAGCCAGCAGAGATCCTTGAGGAAACTCCGAAATGGTCTTTGCTAGCCAGCTTGGCTTATCAGCGCTTTAAGAACCGAAACTGCAGCTTTTAAAGGACCGTTGAAGGCAAAAACCTGGCGAATTTGACTGGCTGATCCCTTTAAATTCGGTTTCACTAACCCGGCAAGCTAGCAGGGATCCTTGAGGAAATTCGAAAATGGTCTCTGCTAGCCAGTTTGATTTTCCAATGCCATTAAAGTCTAGATTTCGGCTTTTAAAGGGCCATTAAAGGGAAAAGAGGGCTTAACATTATGGAGTTTTTGACTTGCAGGGCCCTTTAAAATTTCAAAAATGACAATTGTATTGCCAGGGAGCGGAAACGGGAAAAGGATCGCGAAGAACTGTGGAAACGACTCGAAGCTATTGAGCTGGCCGGCGGAGAGGAAGCCGACGGAAAATTGTTACTCACCGGACCCCCGCTCACCTCTTTCATCGGCAACAAGGTACGGTATTTTAATTTTTCAAAAAAGTTTACGGCTTGCCATTAGATAGAGCGCAAAATTCTCCACAACATGGCGTTTTTAAAAGTTTAAATTGGGTTACTATAGCCGGAGAAAAATTTGTCGAAAAATTAAAAGTTTCATGTTTTTATAAAGTTTTTATTTTGCGAGGAAAATTAGTAGAGACAAATTGAAAATTATGAATCATTAAACTGACAGCCAGTTGAAAGATTGGCAAGCTAGCAGAGGCAATTTGCCTTTGGAGCGGCGAGCTGGCAGTGATTCTTTGATCCCCCGAGTGCGGAACATCGGGAACCTCGGCAAATGATCTCTGCTAGCCGGCCCTCGAAATTTTTTCATGTTGTATTGGATAGTTTGGGTGACAGTTTAGGAAATGGCAAGATTAGCAGAAATTTCGAGGAAATGGCAAGCTAGCAGAGACCAATTGATCCTAGGCGTCGGTAAGATCAGACAATCAGGCAATTGGCCTCTGCTAGCTTGCCCTGTGAAATATTTTGATGTCGTAATCGGGAGCCCGGCTGACAGTTTACAGAATGGGCAGGCTAGCAGGGATTTCTAGGGAATAGCCAGCTAGCAGAGACCATTTAATCTCAAATTTCCAGACCTCCGAGGTGACGGGCGGCGACAAGAGCCCGGGCGCCGTCAAGAAGACGTCCTCCTCAAGCGGTGGAGCCCCACCCGCTACCAAGAAATAGAAACCGCAATTTTCCACTTTTAAAGGACCATTGAAGCCAAGAATCCATGACTTCAACGGCCCTTTAAAAGCTCCGTTTTTTGGCTGCTGACAGGCCCATTTCGTGTATTTTGTAACTCCGCGTAGTCGCCCTCGAATTTGCGTGTGTGTATTTATCAATATTTTCGTGTGTTTTTTGTAATTTTTACAGTAAGAAAAGGCAAAAAGTCTCAAAAAATCTATTTTTTATAAAAATCGAAAAATTATTTTTTGTATTTTTTACTGTAAAAAATGCCGCCATTTTTTGCTCCCCGTATAGCTACAGTGACCCCCCGTTATTAGAAAAGCTAAGGAAAAAGTACAGTAAGGCGGAAAAATTCGTTTTTTTTACGTTTGCGGGAAACTGTAATTTTTTTTACATACAGTAGTCTACAGTAGTCTACAGTAACCCGCGATACCGTAACCCCGGCCCTGCCATTCGCCCAACATTCGTTTTTCTCTTCTATTTGTCATTTTTTATTTTTTCCCGGCCCTCCCCCCCCACTATTATGGTTCACATGTTCAGCTCATTTTTGTATTGGTTTTCCTTATTTTTTCGTTTTACAAGCCACGCCCCCTTTCCGGAAGCCACGCCCCTTGTTGGAGGCTAGCAGAGAAAATTTTGTTTTGTTTGTTTTGTTTCAAGTTTTGACAAAAACCAAAAATTGCGACAGCGTTAATCGAAATTTTTCGGCGTGCTGGTAATTTTTTATTTTTTCGGCTTAAATTACGGTAATTTTCGGAAAATTAGAAAAAAATTACGGTAGATAAAAAGCGGAAAAAATTGTTTCCGAAAAATTGATAAAAAATGGGTTTCAGCTTTTTTGGAAATTCAGAACGATTTGGCAGCAGCAATTTAATTTTCTTAAGTTCCTCGCTCTGAATTTACGAAAAATGACAATTGGCGTATCGTAAATTCAAAAATTAACTTCTAAAAATGGCAAGTTGCAATTCTTAAAAAAACCCCAAAAAGCCGAAAGCTACAAAAACCGGTTCCGGAAAAAATGTTTCAAATTTACACAAAGCACGGAAAATTGGGATTTACCTTAGTGTCGCACTTTTTCTTTATTCTACTTTTTAGTGTTAAAAAGACTAGAGTTATCGTATCAAAAAAAGCAAAAATTGGCAACAAAAAATTACAAGTTTCATCGATTTTGCAATTTCGCCAATTTTTTGGAACCTTAATTTTTTCTTGCTTTGAAATGAAGTCGGTACTTTTTATCTTAAAAACGATAATTACCGCACCCAAAAAGATCAAAATAATCGCGCGCGAAGATTTAAAAAATGAGTTTCACCCAATTTCCATTTTCCAAAATTTTTCAGCCTTTCAATTTTCCACAAATAGAAGGATACCGTACTTTTTATCCTGAAAAACCACAACTCCCGTATCGAAAAATTGAGTTTCATCCATTTTCCAATTTAAAAATTTTATCTGTAATTTTTTAAAACAACTAAAAAGTCATGAACCGGAAAGGGGCGTGGCCTTAAAAGCTGTACTACTGTATAATTTAGATCTGCTTTTTTCTGGTTTTTTATATTTTTATTTTCCCCGAATTTCCAAGACACATCCCCCATCAAAAAACACACAGCTACCGTAACCCCGAATTTCTGGTAATTTCCATATTTTGATTTTTCACATTTTCTGTTTTTCCGGAATTCCGCCCGATTCCGCCGGAATACGGTGGTATACTGTAATTTGTAATTTTTAACGGCTCGTTAAATATATAGTGACTCGATTCCCCCAAGTTCCCATTATTTCTATTGTATTTTTTTGAATGGGAATAAAGTGACAGAGTTTTGGAGCCGGGCTACAAACTACAAAGGGCTATAACTTTTTGTTTAAGGCGTTTCAAGTCTGGCCTTTGAGCTAATTGGCTGAACTGGCAGCCAGACTAGAGACTACAAGATTTATGTCGAGGCTACAAACTACAGGAAACCTACCCGGACAACGATGCGGGTTCGACCCCGCCCGCGTCCAACCTTTTTGCTTTTTGAATTTTTCGTGAATTTTTCGACTGGCATACCCAAACTGGAAACCAGACTACAGAATGCAACTTTTAGATCGAGGCTAGAAACTACAGAAACCTTACTAGGCGAACGACCCGGGTTCGAGTCCCCTCCCGGGCGAATTTTTGCTTTTTGAAAATTGGATGGTTTTTACGTTTCTAATGGCTAAAGCCAAGCCAGACTAGAGACTAGAGACTACAAAATAAGTCGCCAAAACATTCCCAAAGAATAAATCTAAATATGATGAGAAGGAACAATTAACCCGAGCCCTTTTTTTACAATTTTTGAAAAATTTATTTTTTTTTGGGTTGTAGCAAGAAAATGCAATCTTTAATGAGTGAGTGGCCCTCATGATTTTCTTATTATCCGAATAACGTAATGGAGAATATACTATGACCGGAAAATCCGACAAGCAAACAGCGCGAAAAAATTAAAGCCAAAAACTGAGACACGGCTTACGAAGACGCATTGACGAATCGGGAATTTCCGGGATTTTGTCGTTTTTTGAAACATAAGAAATCTGAGCTCCGAGGGCCACCGTTGGCATCTTGTATAGTGCCAGCCGCTTCTAGCGGCTTCGCCGCTGCAAGCGGGCTAAACTGACATCCAGACTACAGACTACAAGCTACAAAAGGGCCAAAACTGTGGGATATTAGCATTTTCTGCAATTACAGAATACAGACCACAAAAAGTTTGATATTTTTGAGTTTTCTGATTTTTTGAAACATTAATTCTGAGAAACCGGAAACATGAAGACGGGTATTGCATCAAGGAGTGACAAATTCTACTACCACAGGTTAAACATCATTATTTTTAACATTGTTTGAAACACGAATTTTTTTCTTGACGCAAATTTGTGCCTACACGGATGAGGTAAATACTTGCTGTGCCGAATTTTCGCTGTGCCGATTTACAGTATGCCGATTATTGGTATACCGAATTTTCACTATGCCGAATTTTGGAGGTCTTCCTTCAAGACATAATGGCTCTGGAAGTTATGAGCTAAACCCCCAATTTCAGCACGAAAAAATGAGGCAAATCGTGATCTGCATCCAAAATTCTGCATAAATCGGTTCACTTCCGCTCGGTTTCTCGCCTGAAATCCGATTTTTTTTCCTCAAATGCCAACCATCTAGCTGCAGCCCGATTCGCCGACCCGAAGACGATCATTGGCGGCGAGTCGTGCACCAAGGTCAACGTCTCCAACTCCAACACGAAGCACGCCTCCAAGTCGCGGTACGCCTGAATTTTTCTCTTGGGCAGCGGCCGGCTAGCAGAGACAATTTCGGCATTCCCTAAATGGTCTCTGCTAGCCAGCTGGACTCCAGAGCTTTTAAAGGGCCCCTGAAGGCATGCAAGGGGGGCGCTTAAAGGGACCGTGACAGCAACTAGGCCATGGCCCTTTTTAGCTCCGGCAGCGGCACGAAGAGCGGATCATCCAAGAAGAAGCGGGTCTCGCTTGTGTTGCCGACAACCACCGCCTGCGCCAAGTCCGTGTCGAAGACGTCGGGCCGCCGGTGGGCACGGGGCAGACTAGCAGAGACAATTTAAGGAATCCCTAAATGGTCTCTGCTGGCCAGCTAGACTTGCAAGAGCCTTTAAAATAGATCCTCTCGTTCTAAAGGACCATTGAAGGCAAAAAGAGCCCTGAATTCGACGATTTTTCCGGTTTAAAGGTACAGCGACAGCAACTGGATCCTTTTTCAGGTCCACCGCCTCAACCTCGATGCGAAAGAGTGGCAGCAAGAAGAGCGTGAGCCAGAAGAGCTGCATCAAGAAGAAGAAGGAGCTCGAGAAAAAGAAGCCGACCGAATCCAACAATAGGTGGGGCAGACGAGCAGTGGCGATTTGTGAAAATTTAAAACGCTCGCTTCTGGCCAGTTTGACTTCCTTCGGCGTAGCACCCAAAAATATCCATAAATTTTATAGGGCGCTTGAAGGCAAAAAGCGCCACGAATTCGGCTTTTTCCAGTTGAAAAGGGCAGTGACAGCAACTAGACCACGCCCCCCTTTTTAGTTCCTCGAAGAAGAAGAAGAAGGAAAAGGGCGGCTCAACTCGTTCCTCGAATGCAACCTCTACCAAGTCGTCCAAATCGACGCACACGCAGCGCTCGTTGATGGCCACCCCGCCGTCGTCGCAGGTAGCTTTTGGGCTAGTTGTTCGCGTTCTGTAGTCTGTAGCCTAGGGTTAGTGACTGTAGTTTGTAGTCTGGCTGCTAGTGTAGTGATCCCATCAAAAAATTGGCAAAAAATTCCAAAAGCAAAAAGTTTTGCCGCGGCCGGGGGTCGAACCCGAGAGACTCGCCTAGTGGCGTTTTTGTAGTTTTTAGCTTGTTCTAATGGTTGGAGTTTGTAGTTTGGATGTCAGTTTAGCGTTTGAAATAGAGAAATTTTTTAAAAATTCAAAAAGCAAAAAGTTCGGCGCCGACGGGGGTCGAATCCGGATAGATAGCCTAGTAGGGTTTTTGTAGTTTGTAGCCCAGTTCCGGAAATTGTAGTTTGTAGCCTGCTTGCCAGTTAAGCCATTACAAAAACAATTGAAGCTCTAAGTCTAAACCGGACAGAAATTTCGCTTCAGATGTCGCTGATGTCGGCCACGCAGAAGATCTCGCTGGCGGAGGAGACGAACAACAACAAGAACATGGCCAGCAGCAGCAGAAGCACCGCGTCGACCACGAGCAGCAACAAGAACATGGCCAGCAGCAGCAGCAGCACCGCGTCGACCACGAGCAGCAACAAGAACATGGCCAGCAGCAGCACCAGCACTGCCTCCAAGACGAGCAGCAGCAAGCCCTCCAAGGGCAACAAGCCCAGGGCGACTCGGTACGCCCTGATTTTGGCCCCTGTCACCGTCCCTTTAAATTGGATTTTCTCATGCGGCAAACTAGCAGTGATCATTTTCGAAATTCCAAAATGTTGTCTGCCAGGCAATTTGTCTTACCGGGGTCTTTAAAATTTCTGAAAATAGATTTTGGAGCCATTTGGAAGCATTTTCTGCTGTCACTGCCCCTTTAAAATGGATTCCAGGGAGGGCAAGGTTGCAGTGATCATTTGGGAAATTCCAAAATGGTCTATGCTAGCCAGTTTGACTTGAGAGGGCCTTTAAAAATGGAATCTTTTAAATGGAATCGATACTTTTTAAAGGACCATTGAAGGTTGAGTCTTTGCTGCCAGTTTAAAGGAGCAGCGACACCCGCTAGGCCACGCCCCTTTTTCAGCGCCACTGCGAAACGCCCGAAAAGCCCGAAGAGCCCGAAAAGCCTGAAGAGCCCGAAGAAGAACAAGAAAGCCGCGGCCCCCCTCGACGTCGGAGCGACCCAAGCCGATGGCGGCGCCGAGGAGAAGGAGCAGGAAAAGGAGAAGAGGTGGGGCAGGGCAGGCTAGCAGAGACCATTTGAGGATGGGAATGCCTAACATGGTTGCCAGTTTAGCGATTTGAAAAGAATTAGCGTTCTAGTTACAAACTACGAAAAGTGAGCGCAATTCCAAATCGGCAAACCCAATGTGTGCACATTTTCCGCTCCTTTCCTATGTACAGACTGGGGTACAGCAATTGGATTTTGTAGTCTGCGTGTCAGTTCAGCGACTCAGAAGCCGAATTAGCCTTCTAGCTACAAACTACGAAAACTCGACCACTTGAAAACCCGAAAACGCGGTTGTGGCGATTTTCCGAACCTGTCCTATTGACGCCAGGGGTACGGTGGCTGATTTTTTTGCGGTTGTATTTTGTAGTCTGTCGGCCAGAATAGCCATTTCCGTCAAAAAAGATGAAGTGTTGCGTATTAAAGGGGGAGTGACAACAGCCAAGCCAGGAATGGGCAGGCCAGCATGGATTCTTGTGGAAACGTGAAAATTCCCCGATTTTGCAGTGAGGCGGAGACGCCGATCCCGGTGGTGCCCGACGACCCGCTAAAGGAATACGTGCCCCCGTCCGAGACGACCGCCCCGCCTACCTCCCCGGAGGCCGACGAGGAGGCTAGTTTTGGGGTTCTACTAGCGGATTTCGCCAAATAGAGAAAAAGCAAACACGTGGCGTGGCGGAGACTTAACTTACTAGGGAAGTATCTGAACTTGCCATCGAACTTTGAGAAGTCAGATACACCATTCGATGCGCCGTGACAAGAGGATTCCAAATATGTAATAAAATCAACGGGAGCGCATAACGGTAAAAAGTTATGAGCATTTTAAGTTTTACATTGAAATACGCCGCCGCGAGAAGAGCCCCTCCCAGCGCACCCTGATCATCGGTCTCGTGGCCTAGTGGTTTGCGCATGGGTCTCTGGGCTGTATGACCAGGGTTCGGATCCCCTCACGATTTTTATTTTTTGCTTTTTGACCGGTTCCTACTTTTGCATGTCCAAACTCGGGAATAAGTTTTTCTTTACTGTGTGACCCCTAAAAAGCACCAGCGATGAAAAAATAACCCCGGCAACAAAACTAGGATCGGACGCTCTCTATATCAAAGTTGGCAAAATCGTCTGAAACCGCCCTTTTAAGGCTCTGTGCGAATTCGAAGAATTTAATTTGTCAAAAAATGGAACAGTACATCTCGATCAGCAGAAAATTCCCTTCGAATGAGCTATCTTACCTGCGCTTTACGCCAAATTCTCGAAAAGTCTTTGGCTAGCTGGCCATACCCTGCCCTTACCCTGCATTCCAAAAATATTTTTTTGCGGAAATTTTTGGCAGCCGTATGTAATATAGCTCATTTGAAAGAGCTTTCTTTGTTGAACAAGGAGCACTAATTAGTTTAGACTAAATTCCATTCCGCGCGATGATACAGGGCCTCAAAGATGCTGTTTTTCGTCATTTTGCCGACTTTGAAGCCTCATAACTTTTTACCGTTATGCGCTCCCGTTGATTTTATTACATATTTGGAATCCTCTTGTCACGGCGCGTCGAATGGTGTATCTGACTTCTCAAAGTTCGATGGCAAGTTCAGATACTTCCCTAGTTAGTTCTAGCTTAGGATTAGCTTAGGCTTAGCTTTGGCTTTGGCTGTGGCTTGACTTAGGTTTAGGTCTAGGCCTAGCTTGGTCTCAGCTTTGGCTTGGCTGCCTCAGTTGCTCAAAAAACATTTCTGGCACTCCCTGTGAAGAATTTCCTTTACAGGCTGGCCGCGACGTGCTGTGAACGACAGGCCGCCCGGATCGACCAGCGCTGACTAATTAAAAACACACCCCCGCCCCTATATTTCGCTGTGCATTTATTGTTCGATTGTGATCAGAAATACTGTCGTCGTGCTTCCTGGGATAAACTGTTAAAAAAAAGCACGAAAAAGCCCTGAACTCACAGCATCTGATGGAAAAAGCAAAGAGCCCGACCAGGGGGACGGGGGGGTCGAACCCGGGCCTTGCGCGCCGTGGCAACCCTGATTAGCCAATTCAGCAATTTCCGATGTTCCTCGCGGCACGAAACATGCGATTTTTATGGCAATTTTTGTGCCCGTCCCCGCACTGCCGCTGCTGTTTTGCCCTGGCTTGGGTGAGCCTTGGCATACGGTAGCCCGTGCCATGCGGCTCTTGAGATTCCCCAAGAATCTCTGCTCGCCTGCCCAAACAAACTATGCCAACACAGCTTGACTTCAAATTGGCCTCCCGGAAAAACGACCGATAGCCTAAATACCGCGAAACATGCAATTTTTAGCGAGGATTTTTCTCGTTCGGAACCGAAGCCGATCGCTGTCTAGATTTTCCTATGAAAATTATGATGCCTTTTTAACATAATTTACAAATTCGATTACAGCTATTTACGACAGACCCACTGGATTATTCCCTGCCGAAAATCGCCAATCTTGGCCGTTTTTTGAAACAGTCATTTTTTATTTTTCGACTTTCACATTAAATATTTATTAAATCTACAAGCTACAAACTACAAAAATCACATTAAAATTGGTGCAAATTAAAAGCATTTTTTGAATTAAAATTGGATAAATTCGGGCGGCTCGCCGCCGGAATTCAGGTGGCGCTTCATGTGGAGCTGGAGATGATCACTCCGTCCGAATGTTCGGCCACAGCTCGGGCATCTGAAAGGGAAACGCTTAACTGGCGGTCAGACTACAAAATACAACATATATTTTGGGGCTGTAAACCACAAAACTACTACCAGGCGAACGACCCGGGTTCGACCCCCGCCCGCGGCTAACTTTTTGTTTTTTGATTTTTATACCAACCTTTCGATAGAGCAATGGCTAAATCGGCGGCCAGACTACAAACTACAACCTCCAGTTTCAGGCTACAGGCTAGAAAAAGCTGCCAGTTGCACGACCCGGGTTCGACCCCCGTCCGCGGTAAGCTTTTTGCGTTTTGAATTTTGTGCTAGTTTTTCGATGGGGTTAGCCAAACTGGCAGCCAGACTACGAAATATAAGCCTCGTTTTCAATTTACATCAGTTTAATCACGAAATACAGTGGTACCTGAACGGCTTGGCGCCGGTGTGCTTCCTGTAGTGCCGCGTCAACTCATCCGATCGGGCAAACGAGCAGTGACACACTGGCCATTGGCACACGTAGGGGCGCTCGCCTGAAAAGTATATTGATTAAAATCGTGATTTAAATAAAGCCTTCGATTTTAAAAACCAGGATTTCGAAGTTAAAAATCAATGTTTCAGAAACTTTTGAAAGACCTAAAATTTCAGCGTCAAATAATAGCACCCTGTTTGTACAAATAAAAGTAAAAATTAGCAACTTTTCCCTGATTATCTTTAGGCTTCTGAGAAGTAAATTTAAAAAGGAGAATGAAAATTTGGGTGTTTCAGAAAAATTACAGTATCCGCAAATTTTGAAGGAAGGAATACTTCAAGGCAGCCACGGGCTAATATTAAAAACCACAGCCCCCTTATAGGTAAAAAAAACGAAGATCTAAGTTGCAGCTACTTCAATTTAAGTTATTAAGCTACAGTACGATTCTCCGAGAGAGCCCCTAAGATCATTTCAAAAATTTTTGAAAAACCAATGTTTCAAAAAATTTTTAAAAGGCGTAATTTTCATTTTGGATAATGCTCGTCAAAAAATGGCCAAAATCCGGAATCGCCTTGATTTAAATTAAGTTATTAGCGTACAGGAAGCTAGGTAAGTTCTGCCTGACGAGCCAAAATTCAATTCCGGCTTTTTAAAAATCAATGTTTCTACAAAACTTAAAACGTTATGAATTTTTTGTTGGGCATTCCGGTTTCTTCATCATTGATTCAAACATTCAGCAAAAATTCCACATCATTATCGGTTGTTTAAAAATAAAATAAAACAGTCCAATAAACTCACCAAAAATTATGAAAATCGAAAGTCAATTCTCCAAAAAAATTTCTAAATAAATCGAATACGCAGCACCATGTTTCAGAAAATTCACATTAGGGTCGGGGTTTCGCCCCGCTAATTGGTTGCGCTCTCTTTGGTCCCAGTCCTACTATTCTCCCCGCAAAGCGAAACATTTTTACGCAAATTTTTATTTTTATTTTTTTCCCTGCTTTATTAAGTTTTCTTAATTGATAATTATTAAATATAATTGAAGCTGCAGTAATTTCCCTCCATGTGGTTATTTATTTCTTAATTAATTAATTAATTTAACTTTCTAGGAAAATAAATGTTCCAGAAAACTTACAGTAAACGAACAATTTTTGGCAAGCAATATTGGCAGGTATCCGTTTCAAAAAAAAAATATCGAATAGAAAATATAGAAGCCCATTTTAAAAATTACAAAACATGGAGCTTTTTTAAAAAATATGTTTCTCAAAATTGGGGGGATTATGGCGAATTTTTCTAGGATAATCCTTCCATTGGATGATTTAGGACAACATTTGAAATGAAATTTAAATCGACATGATTAATTTCTCCTAATTGGTGGTTAGTATAGATAAAACCTAAGCTACAGTAAGCACCGTCCTTACGGTCCGTTAATTTTACCGAGTTTTTAATCAATAAAAAGGGTTAACTGAATTAGTTTTAAGTGTAAATAAAAAAGTGTTTCACGAAATTCAGAGGAAACGAATAATTTTTGGCCAGCAATTTCCTGAAGTGTAAATTCCAGAAAAACCTATCCTCAGTTTAAAAAATCAAAAAAAATTCGATTTTTTAAAAAATATGTTTCTAAAAATTCGGGGATTATGGCGGGTTTTCCACATTCATTGGGCCTTCCATTGGATTGTTGAAAATCGATTGCTTGCAATTAAAGCAAGCCGTATTAATTAGCTGTTAATTTAGCTAATTTTATTTCGATTTTTAATGGTGATCCCGCGCTAAAATAATCCAATCGGGAAATATACTCAAAATTCAAAAAGCAAAAAGTTAGCCCCCGGGTGAGGTCGAGCGCGGGTTTCAAAGATTGTATCTTGTAGTCTGGGTGCCAGTTTAGCCATTCGCATCAAAAACCGGTGGTCCCTATTCCGTTTGGCTACTGTATCCACTCACTCAAGACTAGCCGCGGTACCCCCAGGGCAAAACAGATGCATATCTCGAGATGGTCCAAATATTTGTCTCTCTCTCTCTCTCTCTCTCTCTCTCTCTCTCTCTCTCTCTCTTCCCACTACAAGATACGACTGTTTACAGCCGTTTGCACTTCCAATTATCCGCCCTCTCACCCCCCGGCCGGTCACTTCAAAGCGGGTGTCATTTGGCGCATACCGGAAATAGGGAGGTCACCTGGGGGGTACGGTAAATGGAGGGTTTAGCACGTCCTAAATGATCTCTGTTAGCTTGCCCTGACTTGGACTCTATAGCTTCAATTAATCGAAAATTAAAAGTATCGAAGGAAAGACGTACGCCCATTGCCGACACTAAAAAGGCGCGATCTGGTTTGTGAGACGAAACAGATTTTTTCAAAATTTTACGATGTTTCGCAAACTGCCTCTGCAAACCTGCCCAATTAAAAAACACAAACATTAAGAAGGGAGATTCGGGGGAATTAAACAGAGAATTTCAATGGTTTACAAGGAAAACCAACTGATTGTCCATTGACTGCTCAAAAAATGTGCGTTTACCTTCGTACATCGAAACATTTTTTTTAAACCTGATTTTTGCC